AAATACTTTCTTGCCAAGAAATTCCTATGTAGTTTCTAATTTACTTTACATGATCGACCCAAGTTTAGATAATTTACTAGTACTCATCGCGTTGTTGGTATTGAAGAAAGTGATAACCAATCACAATAATTTTTATACTAATAAGTAATATTACTACATGTTTCTATCATTTATATAATATTCAATAAATTCTCGTACAAAAACCCCTAGAGATATAGCCCAGTAAAAACATAATCCAAGGGGTCATTATTGCTATTCATATATGTATATATGTTTGTATTATAGTTGTAAGAGAAGAACTTGGGAAATAAGCCCCCTCTCCAGTTTGAAATTTAGCTTACCCAAAAACTAAAAAATTAGTGTGATCCTTATAAAAATATTTTTAGGAAGAATATTTTTATATTCTTTATAGAACTCTACTTGTACCTAATACTCGATTTGTAGGGGTTTTTACTCGGTATTTGGTAAGTAAATGAATTTACTACTCGGATCATCTCTAATAATGAAGTCTAGAAATTTAAGTTTATTTTTTTAGTGTGAACTAGCACTATACACTAAAGTTTTAACTCTAGTGCATAGTTCAAGTCTAAAATTTTTTAGTATATTTTTTATAGATCTTAAAGTATAAATACATTTTTATTCATTTTTTTTTTTTTTTTTTTGTTAAATAATTTCTTCATTATAAATTGAATATGAACACTCCAAAATTTTATATTTAGATTTATATATTTGTTAGCACCTGTAGCTATGATTTTTTACTGTTATAAAGAAATATTAAATTTATTTATACATTTACTTAAAAAAATGTTATAATAAAATAATGTAACATCTATTCCATATTGTTTTGAGTTTAAATGTATATCCAACAGAAGTGTAATAGTTTTAGATCTTATCACTGAAAATATTTCTTTAGGTATATATTGGATTTTCAATAACAAAATAATTAATTTAAGAAGCTTATTATATTATTATGTTTCTTAAATTTCAACTTGACCTTTAGCCGACTTCTAGTTGGTTTTAAAGACAACCCTATTGAAATTACTCCAGTCTTAAAAAATTTACGTTTAAAGTCAAGGCAAAAAAATACATGTGAAATGTTGTAGTTACTACAAACAACTGCGAAACCTAACTCAAGATTTTCAATCGGTAACTGCAATGTAAATGAAAAACACTAATTTATTTAAACTAATATTAGCAGCAACAACAGTTACAAATATAATTATAATAATTATTATTATGTAAAAGTAACGACGCCTTAACAACAAAAACCGGAAATTATTTTTTATCACACCGGTTTTATTCATACGCATTGCACACCACTTGCCACTTTCCTCTTTTTATCCTAATAATTAATGGTGTTTGCTGTGGTAGATATTAGACTGAGCTGAAAAGGCGTGAGGCTAATATTTTATAATATTAATAATAATAGTGTAATAAATGTACCCGTTAACTTATTGAGGGAGGGATAAGAAACGCCGAAATTCTTCCCCATTGGATTTTAATAGTACACCTTTACTTAATTTACCCTAAATACAACACTTGTGTACGGTAACAGAACCTCGATGAACTACCGGAAGTTATTTAAAATGCTATTACACGGTTTAAGTGCACAAGAAATATTTTAATTTATTTTTTATATAAAAATACAAATAATCGTTTTAATTTTTAAATTCAACACCCTTGTAAACAATGTTACTCGGTAGATTATTTAATACATCGTGCATAATTTATTGAGAAAACATAATATCGTGATAACTCAAGTAATAACAAAAAATTCTGTAGGTCGAATCGTTAGATTATATTTGAAAGTGCGTTTAGAAATATCACTGATGAATATTAGTAATTAATTTATTGCCTCTCTGTTGTTAAAACAAATAAACCACAAAGGACTTCGGGCGTGTTGGTCGTGACTCGCATCAGTCATAACTGAAGATTCGATTACATTAAAGAACCCACTTTTACCCGTTCCACGACCGATCTCAAATTTCACGCGATACACTAGGCAGACCGTGTGGCGACTTGCGACCACCAAAAAAGAGGTCTAAGGTTTCCAAGTCACTGATGCGATCCTGTCGATTTCATTATTTGTCTATTGTACGTATACCTACAGTCAAATTAAATTACTTCAAAACGAAAACTTAAAGCGGCACGTCTAAATAAGGAGTGATGTTTTTATTTAGCCCATTCTATTAATTCTACCATCATTTATGAATGATTATATATTTCCATAAACTATAATTTATTTTTCAAGCGTAATGGTTAACTACATACCAAAAAAATACATCAAATAATTACCGTACTACTTGTAATTTTAATATTATTCTACATTTTGTGCAAACTGCAAAGTGCAACTAGGGTCATAGTACCCTCAGACAAGAACTAGTGAATACTCTAAATAAAAATTTTTTAAAAATCATATACATTGTAATATAAAACACAATAGGGTAGTGGAGAAAATAATCTAACATCCCAAAAATTTGTATTCTAGTTACACATATAAGTTTTAAACATATATTGAAATACTATTATATACATTTTATATCAATATCATAGCTTAGGAGCAACTTTTTAATTCAAACTATCCTACAACTATGTTCTAAGCTGCTAATTAAATTATGAAAATATCTTGACACAAGTGGGTATATTTTTTATAATTATTAGAAATGATTGCACAAGTATCCACAAATAGCAGCTTTTTATTTAATACAACAAATCCGTGGATTAATTCACATTAAGTAAAAACCTTATTAATCAGTTCTTGCTGTTGTCACTGATATATTTTCATATTAAACAAAATATTTTGTCATTTTAATTAAATTTGATTAAACTTATACATAAATTCAATTAATTAAAAAAAAAAGGCGGAATGGTTATAATTACTTTAATTATAACACAAAAATTATTGAATAATGTTAAATAATAAATAAAAAGTAGGTATTAACTAGTTTAAAGACAAAAATATAAAACTGTTAGCTGTTTCTTCATTCTTTCATAGAATTTTTATCAAATAATTAATAAACTTAAAAAATTGATGATAAATTAAATATTAATGTTTAATTTAAAACGTAAACTATTACATAAATTTAAATATTAAAATTACAAATTATAAACTGTAATATTTTTGATGATTAAAAAAATTTAAAAGAATTAAACAAATGCAGTTCAAAACCCAAATACCAGTAATATTGAATTATTTTCAAAAGATACTTTAATAATAATATGAAATATTGTAAATTTCATAAAATTAGAAGACAAAATTATTCTTGATTAAGGCATATATTGAGCTGATATCATTTATATTCTAACGACTTAGATTTGTTTTTAATTGAATTACAGTTTTTTTAGAGTCCTTTTAGGTTCTAAATGCGGTTTGATATTGAAATATAAAATGACATTTTATTTTTTCGTGTTACTAACATAGCATAATAAATTTACTAAACTACGAGACCAAAAACTATCTTAAGCAAGTTAACTGCCCTTTGTTCTTTCCGTTCACTTATAATTTGTGATCAATCGTTAAAATTTTAAAAATAATTATTATGCGACAATTTTCAATCGTTGTTGTACTCAAAGACAGAACAGCAAAATATAATAGACTAAGTATTATATATGATACAAGGCAGTTGACTTTCTAAAAATGTTAAAAGTTATTTTTTAAAAATTTAAATTCATCAAATTGTTTTATCGACTAAAAAATCAAATATATAACGGATCAATATATATGATTAGGCCAAAAAGTGTAGGGTAATAATTTGTGTTATAAGAATTAAATTACCTGATAAAAGAAAACGGTTTCAGATGTCCTGCGAGTCTCGTTTAACGGGATCTAATCTTTCATCGGTTATTTCAAATATTTCACTCAAATATTCGGCACTCTAAACAATGTAGTTGTTATGTTTACAAAATATAATAAGAAAAAAATAATAATATTAGGACACAAAATATTTGTTAATATATTAATACATTAATATAAAGTGTTATTGACATTATATCTTTGAATCACACGTATTTCTTGTGATTCATGTAAAACAAATTAGGTTTTCAACAAAATGTCGTTGAAAACCTTTTTTACGTGAATGTATATACACGTATTTAAATTTATAGATTATAAATAAACAAACATACTTCAATTGATGATTACATTAACAACCATAATTTTTCATCTGATTTATCTTTTAGTTATCATATTCATCATGTTAAGCTTAAGGCATTGAAGACATTGGGTTTCATTAGGCGTAATTGTTTTGATTTTAATAATTTAAGTTGTTTAAGGGTATTATATTTATCTTTAGTGAGATCAATGGTTGATTATGGTTCTATCCTTTGGAATCCATTTCAATCTACTTTAATAAATGAGTTAGAACGAGTACAAACTATTTTTTTACGTAACATCAGTTATAAATTACACATCAAATTATGATGAATTATTAATTTTATTAAATCTTGAGCGCTTAGCGACTAAACGTAAACTAAATGAAACTTGTTTTGTTTTTAATCTAATCAATAATAAAAATGATTGTCCTGAGCTTCTAGCTAAATTATGGTTCCATGTTACTATTTTTAATTCACGCAATAATATTCTTTTTCATATTAATAGTCAACGTCAAAACTATAGTTACTTTGAACCTCTTAATCGTATAGCTATAACATGTAATAATTTACCTAATTTTGATTTTTTTATATGACTCATACCTAAATTAAAGTTTACTATGTATTATTATTCGCTTAAATAATGTACCTATTTATTGTTATTACCTATCTTGTTAATATTTATATTATGTATTATTTATTATTTTTATTTAATATTGATGTATTTACTATAAGCTACACTTTTGCCTAAAGGGCGTCAAATAAATAATTATTATTATCATATAATGTCAAACAATCAATCGAAATATAAAAAGTAAACAAATACATTAACTATTGTTATTAAATTAATAAATCCTTTGTTTAAAATAAAAATAAACGAATAATATATTTTAGATATCAAAATACAAGGTGTTATATCATGTTTTTTTCATATTTTAAGAAAACATCTTAATTTTTGATAAAATTACGATTTAACAAACTATTATTTAAAAAAAATTAATTATTAAAAAAATATGACTAACTAATTTTTAATTTTCTATGAAATGCCTCGTCTGTAAGCCAAAGATCTACTACAATTAGGTTTAAGTGATTCATGACCACACTATTTCGGAAATATATCCTATCACCTCCAAATGGTTTTCAGCTCTTAGTTGTGTTCCAAATTATTGTGAATAGTATGACGTCTTTGTCCATCTTTACTCCAGAGTCATCATCATTGTCAGCCATCGTCCACATTTGATAAATGTATGATCACCATAATGCATTCCACCATTGTAAACCGTTTGAGTTTGTAAAAGTAGAATCAGGCCCATAACAACCATATATTGCATCCGGAGAGAAACTTCAAAATGCGTCCTTCGTATGACATTATCTGGGCACTCTGGTGTATATGGGTCAGGTGTGACAGTTAATCGACGACAACAGATTATTTTATAAACAATTTTTTTTTTTCATGTGTTAAAAAGGTGTAAACTATAGACCAACGGACCTAGTCAGGCGGATTTGACTGAAAACATCATTTAATGAAACGATATGCCGCTATTTTTACAATAAATTTAATATTTATATATCAATATATTTCTAATTTCTTAAATTATACGCTCCTTCAAAATTTTTGCCCGAGGCGTAGGTACCTTTTGTCAGCCTTTGCTACTGCCCTAGGTAGAGTTGGAAACTCCTTAATACTTGAATGATAATCAAAATTAGTCAACTATACATTGTCGTTACTTAAATTTAAAACACAATGTTCTACAAATCTTTTATTTATAATTTTCATTACCAAGACATCGCAACCGAACGTGGGTAATACACTAAATATTCTAAGAAACAAATGAGCATAATACAAATTTTTCAGTTGGTTTATTTAATAAACTTTATATTTATATAAAAGCACCAGGATTACCTACTACAACAAAAGTATTTAATCCTTTCAAATATTTTCAATGAAATGCTCAATATTTAATCCCACTTCTAGTTGAGTATAGTTGGAAACATTACTATTATTGTTGTCTTTTTCGTTTACATGGTGCATTTTTCAATGGATTTGAGGAATTGAACAATAAAGGAAAACATACAAACAATTCTGATAATCATCTTGGGCAAAAAGGATTGGACAGCATATTTCTATTAACTAGTGTTTGTATGTATTTAGCCAGTAGTAGTCAAGGCTGATGTTTCTAGTAAAGGACAAAAAATACAATTAACTGCAATCTTTAGCGACGATTGCAATATAACAAATTCTGTCAATTTTTTTACTAAAAAACTAAAAATATGTCAATTTGACATATTAAAATGTTATCTGTAAAAATTTCGCTATAAACCGTTCAGTTTTCAAAAGTGGAAACTAATAATATCAATGTAGACTATTTTGTGAAAACTAATTTTTTGGAACATTTCTCATTATTACAGAGACTGAGGGGAATTTGTTTAAATTGTGGCGATGACAATCTCAACAAGATACGTTTTATGAACTTTTGATTAATTGCTGAGTAGAATCGGTACAGTGAGAGTAGTCGAGTATAGAGATACAAAAAAGAACATGGCAGAGAAACTGATAGCTTTTCAACTTCGTATCGAAGCTAAAACATTGAATTGTTATTTATTTTTTACATAATATCAATACATTATTTTTGATGTATAAATTGTTGACAATATCTCAATTAGAAAGTCAGTTAACAACAAAAACAATGCGTTTCCTTATATTTTTTACAGTTTAATAAAATGTTCGTCGTTTGACAAAAACCATTTGATTTGGGAAACTTGGACTAATATTTATCTAAATCATTATTTTAAAGTGAGCTATGAGTATTTTTTAATCTCAGCTATGACGTTATTTAACTGTTTGTATCATAAATACCTATTCAATCTACTGTTAAAATACTATTTTCACTGCGATTACGAAAGACCATAAGTACAATACGTATCTAAGTTTTTTTGTAAGAATTGTTAAAAGAACAGTGGACGCGGCGCCGTCGTGTGTAATGGTCTGCGAAACAATCAACCCTATACGCGTCGACTGGGCAGGGATAAAAAAATATAATAATGATAATATAAACCATTATTGTGCAATGTTCAACGACCGTATTAAGGTTTTTAATAGACTCCGCGTGCGCATGAGATGTCAAGATTTTTGGCTTGCCGAACACCTGAAGGGTCTTTCGCTCCGTCGAGCGCCGTCCGCATATATTATTATTGTACACACTGTAGGGACTGTACAATATCATCATATACGAACGTTTTTATGTTGTTTTTCCCTCGCCCCTTGTCATTCCCCAGCCCAAGTGAAAGATCTACAGGCTCATTGTGTAGTGCACCAGATAAGATTCCGGATTATATTACGCGCGCGTCCCTTTTTCATCATTTTTGTAATGTTTTCTTATCGAAATCTCTTGATCTGTGTTTTTTTCGCCTACTTTTTATTTGTTTGTTTTTTATCCATCCAGATTTATAATACACCCTTATCTTTTTAAGCTATTGTAACGCACGGCGACGAAGAGCATCATGAGAAGCCACAACCAAGACACAAGCCGCCGTCCAAGTGTAACCTTATACAATAATGATGATATTATTTACCAGTGCGAAGATGATCGTTGCACTTTCAATTTGATCAGGTTCTTTAGATATTCCGTTAATATTCTTATCTACCTTCGTTCTTTGACATTTGAACGTTATTAAAAACTAAAACACGTTTTAATATTATATATTATAACAGTGAATTGTAACGAAAACTATCAGTATTATATTTTTGGTGGATTAATTCATTAAAAATGAGGAACCTAGAGCGGAAAATATCAAGATGACAAAATTGATCTTAAGATAATTGAATTTTAATTTCGAAAAATTCTCTTGTTAATGTAGTTGGTCTAGGAAACAGTTGATGAAAACAACTTAATTATAAAATCTCTGAGAACGTAAATCCTCCTAAAATAATGGTTTAAAGTTTACTTTACTTTTAACTATTATTAATTGAAAGTTTGGCACGCATCTCATTATTTTCAAAATGTCACATATCCTTTTCAGCTCTAGATGACTCAAATAAAATTATATTTTTATCCTATTAGACGCGTATATAAAAATGATTTTTTGGGAAAGAGAATCAAAAGAAAATGTTTACAATATTTTTGAATACCTTTTTTCTTTACTCAAAATCCTTATGTCAAATAGAACTTTAGTACCAAATTTTCAAGAGGTAACCTAACAATTTCACGAGAGTTTCCTGGGTAATTTTTTATAAAAAAACAGGTCAACAGTGCATTCATGATAAATATCAGGGCTGCTACATATCGCAACATAGAAAAATAACCCAGTACATGTCTGATTATCTCATATCAAATGCGACTAAAAGTTAACGAGCAACACTACTATTGAAAACCTATCTTGCATTTTATATCCGCACTATAAATAAATAATTGAAATTCATTCATAAAAACAATAATATTTTAAAAAACAAACAAAAACTTTTGAAAAATTATTTTATACATTAATTTTCTAATTATTCTAAGAAAAATTGAAAAATTATTCGAAGCACTTTGATTAAATTTATGATTTTTTAACACTTCTGACATAATATACAATATTAAGGTTATTATATACAAGTGTTACCACAAGGTCAAGTAGAAATATACACAAAAAAATCCTTAAATCTTTAAATCTATTATACAGCTATCATTGTTAGGGTACGTATAAAAAGTAGGGTGTCATCGATCTTATATATGGGCTTAAATAACGACTTACAGTAGTACAATAGTCTGTTGACAAAAGAGTATAATTCATACAGGCTATTCATTACGCCTACTTGGGCACACAAGAGGAAAATAAAAGTATATTAATAATAACAAAATAAAAAAATAGAATACCTACCCTTGACGCGCGAACAAGAGCACTTATACTGGTATCATTTATGTTGGACGAATGACATATAAAAATTAAAAACTTAAACTGGTTTAAATAGGTGATAGTAATAACATGTTAACACAATAATAAGGTTTTTAGTTATGAAGAATCAAATTATTTAAGTTGTAAACATTTTAATATTCAGAATAATTTATTAGTATTTTTAATTTTTAAAACTTTTAATTAATTCAAAGCTAAATTTGAAAATACTTTATTAATGTTCCTGTTGTCAATTTGATGTATATGTATAATATCAGAAAAATGTTTTTTTTTTTTTAACATTCGTTAATTTTAAAAATTATTAATAAACGTAAGAATAATACGATCAAATGACGTGATTAATTGGAAGTTCTGCATTTTATTGTTAAAATATTAATCATTATTGTTTTAAAATATATATATATGTGCTGAAGATTTTCTAAAATCTTAAATAAAATTATAGTTTTTAAAAATCGTAATCATTTCTGTTGACACTAAGTAATTTTATTTTAAAAACACGTTTTAATATTATATTACAATACAATCGGTATGCACGTATACGTATGTTTTATACATTTATAAGGTAAAAATTGCGTAGCCGACTGATTGAATAAATAGACAAAAATAAAGATTTTTTGTTATAAATAATGGAAAAGCATTGTTGTTAAACAAACACAAACACTGCATAAATGTGAAATTTTCGTTCATCTCATAGTTGCCGCCATGCTCTTTCTGCCCTCACCGTCCCCTTATGCTTTCTATCATCCACCGCCGTCGCTCAAAAACCGTTGTTTGTTTGTTTAATAAAGACGCGTCGTCCCGCTTCTGTTTTTCCCTTGTACAGTAGATAATATATATATATATGCATTATACACATTAATATGTGGGATCCTGGCGCCTGTTAAAGGCCCCCATCACGGTACGCGGCGGCGCGCACGTTATGAACAGCTACTATGACGGGTAGACAACTCATCAAAGCAGACGAGACCGATTGTTCCCCAACGATGGCGGCAGCCGAGGGGACGGGTTTCCTTTTATTTCTTTAGGCCAACAATAGAAGCTTCGACAAACGTGTATGTCCATCTTTAACGTAAAATACTTGCATCGTAGATTGTTGTTATAATTAGACCAATCTATTAAAACGTTAGAGCAACAGAAGTTTTAGAAATTACTACCCATAAGAATAATCAAAAAAACCGTATTGAAAATTACCCAATTCAATGCGTAAGCAAGTAACCCCTTGGATTTTGCATTATTATAATATTAAGATTTTTGAACATTTTCTTTGGATTAAATGTGACGAAAAATGGATATTTTTTTCCTTTACCATAATTATACTAAGTAGACATTTTTGCGAAAATACCGAGTGCCCAATGTCATATATTTGAACCCTTGAATTATAATGATTGCAAGTGACAGACAAAAACAAGATCAGCAGTTGCATAGTGTGCTCCATGTCCAACCGGAATTTGTCGACACGACGGAGAAACAAACAGACTGAGAGAACAAAATCTGTTTTCTCAATTTATTTAATAATTTTTTATGGTTTCAAATTGGCGAAGATTTGCAACTTGACATTAGGATACGATCTGATAGTAGATACTGTCAAACATGGATTGTATTCACATACAGCAATGGTATAGCTAAGGAGGTAGACACGAGAATCGCGACCCTTCTATTGACGTAATATTTATCTTTAAATTGAAGTGAACAAAAAAATGTTTAAAAGGGATTTTAGAACATTTTCTAACTATGCTCCCCTCATTAAGTAATCCCGTCTACTACAGTGACACACATGTCTGACAAAAAAATATAATTTGTTTTATTAATTAATGAATATTTGGTATGAGGGTCAAGATGATCTTTCAGTGGAAGCGGTTGACATAATGTATGATCCACGATTAACACTCAAAAAATGTATTACATATATATTTGTAAATTATTTGGAAGTTTCCTCTTCTCATTAAAGTAATTTGTGTATTTTAAAATGTTTCTAATTAGTCCATCAAGTAGGATCGAATCTTTATTGGATTCTCTACGGTCGAAATATACTGCCTAACCTTATCTCTATCAATTGATGTTGCCTATAGGTAACGTCAGTTCATTTTTATTGTCACATAGGTATACCTATGAGACATTAGAAATAACTTGTATGAATAATTATAATATGACTAATATAATATAGAAAATTTTATTGTATTAGACGAAATAAAACACTTTTTAGCAATTGTTATTAAAACAACATCTGTGTGACTGCACATGAACAAATATGAAATACATATAGAATGTTTAGTAAGAAAACGTGTTTCTTTTGTTCTCATTTTCTATAACAATTGACCTGCGTCCTTACTTAACACTCTGTATAATAGGTATAATAAATATATATAGTTATATATTGATTTATCATACATATTTAATTATCATTAAATTGAATATATTTCATTTTATGTCACCCTTTACATAATATAACTGATATTAATAATATATTGTCATGTTCTATTATACAATAAAAAATAATTTTGATTTTTGTTAATTTTTTTTTTATTACACGTGTCTCAGATCTAAATGACAACGCTCATAACTTTAGATCTAATTATCAATTCATTAAACATTTTTTTTAAATTATTATCGCCATCTTAGACAACGTTAAATGCATATTGACATGATTTATTTTCTATAGTAAATACATTAATATATTTTTTTTAATTTTAAAATAGTCATTGTTAACTTCAATATAATAATAATAATAATAGATCAATGTGAATTTTTCTCTATAATTAATAATTTTCCCTCGTACACAAAGTGCCGCCGCCATAACACTGTCTTGTTTGCCTTTCAGTGAATATCTAACGTGTGTGTAACTCTGTCGTCCAGCGTTTCTAACACAACTTTTTCTCCATTGCATTATGGTTCTCGGCGTCCAATCATGAAGCTTTGCCTTTAAGTGTACTCGACCGCTCATCCAACTCCCTGTCCACTTATCTATCCTTCGCATCAATCGTGTCCAACTTCAAACTACCCACAAGGCCAAACTGAAGAGTATTGTTTTGACGTTTGCTTGTAGTTGTTTGTTTAATTATACATAATTGTGTTGTTGTGCCATTTAGTAACAAGTAGCTCCCCGTCCACATTATATGTGCTATAACAACTGCACTGTTTATTATATTAACTCCTTATATATTTATAACGAAACGTGCGTTACATATTATTGGCAAGTGCGCCTTCATACAGTCCACTCTCCTCATTCCTTTCATCCCTACAAATCGTTCACCCTTTTAGAAGATTATATACATAAATAGTGCTCCTAAATATTTTCAATCAAAACTCCATCGGTACATCAACTAGCGATAGTTTATACAGCCATTTTTTAAAACTTTTTTTGAAGCATTTAAGCATTTTACATAAAGTAGTTATGTAGCACAGGTAGTTACAGCCAGTACTGGTGTGTATTCATAACGCATACTTCACCCATGCTACATACTCATACTATGTATTGAAATGTTTGTAATTTAATATGTACTTATCATAAAGTTGCTATCGACCCATCAAGTTAAAAAAAAAACGGTTACTTTAAAATTAAATAAAACACACAGACACAAAAGAAATACACATCATAGTAAAATTAATACTTTCACAGCTTTGCATCGAAACTAAAATATGTTTTAAACGTAGTCAACAATGCAAAAATTAATACAATTTTTAACTGTATCAAAAGGTTATTAGAGTTATATATCTGTTCCACTCTGTGTATATTTAATTTTTTTCTAAATTATGAAAGTTTATCTCATAACAATGTATGAGATTACCCCATCGCCACTCCCAAGGAGACGCGTCTGATAATAAGTAATTATATGAAACGCTGTTTTATTCTTTGTTTTAATTTTTCACTTAGTAGTAAAAAGCATTACAAGTACGTAACTGGAAGATTAATACTGAGCTCGATATTTTTGCTCCCTTTTTGATTTTATATAAATTGCTCTAACAGAACATTGTTGAATAATTTCTTCATGACACTATTCTTAGAGAAAGTCATAGTAAATAGAACTAATGATCCTGGAAATGGCAGTTTCTCTAAATGTAATGATGAACCACATACGAAAAAGCTTTTAAGTTCATCATTCACACTTTAAGATTCAACAAGCTCTTGGTAATCCAACGGAAGATATAGTTTCTATTCGTGTATAAAAAATGGCTATTTTAAAATTTCGAAAAAATAACAAAATTATTTTTTTCTTCTTGGAGACAAATAATAAAAACTATGCTTTCAACGTATTTTTTAAATATTGTAGTACATTTCAAAAACATAAATTTGACACAAGTTTAAAGTTGTCAAATATTGCGAAACATTTTCAAAAATTGTAAAAAATATGCTCATAAAGTAACAAAAAACAAAATTAATACCTTTTTAGTTTTTCATGAAAAATTCTTCTTATTTTTTTCTAGCCTCGATTCCAGTTATTTGGAACCGGCCACCCTTTTCCTAAACTTCTACTTGACACGATCTCCTACATCATCTACGTACACATTAGCCGTCCTCATATCGCATTCGATAACATACCTTAATTTCGTTTTTGGTCTTCCTCTATCACATCTTTCTTCAACATTCATTTCCATAACTGTACTTATAGTTTCCGATTTCTCTCTCCTCATAACATGATCAAACCAAAATTCTAAATCTATTTTCTCTCATCTTATTGACGATTGACGCTACACCTCCTATACTCCCTCTTATATATTATTTCTTTATCCTATATTATCTAGTCACTCCAGTCATCCATCCAATCTAAGCATTCTCATCTCTGCTACACCTTATGCCCAACATTCTGAACCTTACGTCATTTCCTAATTTAATTATGACTTAATATTTCTATTATAATCAACACGTGATGTTATTCCCTATTTCAATTAAAAAACTTAATGAACTTATTTATGCATAAGTTAAAACCTTAAATTGCAAAACAATATACTAATTTTATTAAAATATATTTCATGTTTACGTTTGATTTTTTTTTTTTTTTTTTAATGTATATTGTATGATCAATATCATTAAACATATTTCCATTAAATTATAGAAATATTCTACGAATATTAATTACTATAATTTCTTTTCTTTAAGTTGTTTTTCTTGACCAAAGAGGTATACTCACCCCGTTTTCCCAAACATCAAGTTTTTATTATGTATTAGTTATTTATATGTAGTCCTTACAAAAAAAGAACTAAGCCAGGATTCTCAAAACTCCTTTAAATGGTGATT